AGAAACAACAACAAAAATTCTCCTGAAATTTGCACCTCTGTGCTAAAATTTCACATCTGGAAAGAAAAAAAAAAACGTGTCCCTCTCTCACACTCACACACAAAAATGCATAAACACACACACACACACACACACACACACACAGTAATGTGGAATGTGCACTTGCACACACAGTAAAAGAAACCACTGAAGTTTAAAAAGCATCCTATCAGACATGGAGAAGAATACCCAAAGGCACAAAGCTTCGCCTTGCTTCAGATATAGACATGATCCCAGGCTCACTTTTAGTGGATCATTTAGAAAATGTTGCTATAGTTGCAGGAAAGAGCTGCCCACTCCATGAGTGAATGGTATTATTTCAATGGAAGAACGGAAGAGGTATTACGTCCAGTTCCAGAGTGGAGAAAGTGTCTCAGGAACTGTCACAGCTACAATATGCTGTTTTTTGCTTTTGCTGGTCGAGTCCTCCTTCCCCTCAGTTGGTTAAGTTCCCTCTGCAGCACTTGTCACTATTCTTAATGAGCTGTCTACCTTGAAACAGCATCTAGCCCGAGGCTGAGCTAACCAGCATCTGTAAAGCAACCACAGGTACAGAAGTAGAAGGCAATGTGTAATAAAAAAAACAAAAGCCAGCCTCTATGTTTACAGTATGTATTATCTATGTGCATTTGGCGTTGTTGTATATTCTTTTTATTTTGCTTTGTGGTTGATGATGATTATATTTGACTTTTCTACCCAGCTCTTTGGTGTCCTCATGATAACTAAAATGTACTGACGTCAGTTTCAGGCTAGAGGATTAATGTATAACCACAATGTGTAATTTTCTATTTATATATTGCTATATTTGTATGAAGACGTTGCATATTGTAGCTTTACAGTGTAGTGGGTACAGTGCCAGTTTTAGATATATCTAAAAAAGGCACTGCACCCACTGTTTCCTGCAGGGTTAATACACCTTGCCAAATTATTGAAACAAAACTGATCAGTTTTTTATGAATGTTTTGTTTTCTCTTGGTTAATCAATATGGTATTTTTGCAAACGTGCCCAAAATATTTTAGCAGCTTAAGACCCATCAATACCCCATTTCAGGAGGAATCCAACACAAGATATAATGACCTCTAACCATACAAGATTCAACCATTCAAAAATATAAATTGAAATAAATACAAAAAAAGCAAATAAAACACAAAGATGTCCAATATATTTTAAACGCTGCACAACACCATACAGCCGAAGCAGTAAATAAATGCAACATTTCAGAGGCAACTGTAAAGACCCCAACAAACCAAGACAAACACAAAGAGACACAGAGCAAGAGAAATAAAGATCAAGAGACAAAGTTGGTTACATATTGTATGCTTTACACATTTTCTTGTAGGATGGATGACTTAACTAGAAGGAGTGCACTATCCATCTATCATCAGACAGGGACAAAGGGGGGAGAGCATACAGGGACATTTGTTTGAACTGTTTCACAACAACTTCTTTTATCTGCCTCACAAAGTTGTTATCAGATTTCTGCCGCACCAGACTCTCTTACCAAGGGGAATAATGACATTGAAAATAACGGAGCAAGCCAGAATCTCTCATGGTGTGAGTTAGTTACTGGTCAATCATGTAGTTAACTGTAGGCAAGCTAAGCAAATGAAAATGCATCTAGTTAGAAAGGTTAAAAATGGACAAAAATGCTTTTAATTCAATGGAAAAGACATTATACTAGTGTAACCTAAAAATAAATCTTTTTAGTGATATTTGATTTAAAGAAATTGCATGTACTATATCTTTGCATCTCTTTTCACTTATTATCTGTTTGCTTGTTGGTTTACTTGTTTACATAATCATACACTGATTAATGCTTCACGCCGACTACACAAGTGGAACCCTGATTTTTCTACTACAAGACCGGACACAGACATGCTCTGGATGATTGGAACTGGTAATCCTGTGTATGGGTTAAGGAGTCTCTTTTGCTTGCACAGCCCACAGGATTATGTTAATCAAGTTTGATTTTCATATGTCAAATGATTAAAAAACAAATCTGGATAGAGGGAGCAACACAAATCTGAGAATTAGAATTAGATAATGACAGATTGTGATAAAATAAAATAAAATAATCCTAAAAAATTTGATGGGTGATTATAGAACTAATCAACAGTCTTTTGTATGTATGATGAAGTTGCCCTCAATTAATCTCAGTTAGTCTCCTAGCATCATTTGCAAATATGCTTTTAATTTGTAAAGAAATAAAGTTAAATTCTTCCTGCAGAAAAAAACGTTGTAGAAAATGATCCCACTAAATGAGTATGTTCTAAAACACATCTTTATGTATTACTAGCTATGTTTAAATACTGGTGTAACAGACATTAAGTGTCTGGATAAGGTTGATGATCCTGTTTTTTGAGCCGATGGAGAACCTATTTATCGGGACAGCAGCATAAATTGATTTTCTGTTTCTGGGTCCAACAAAAGTCGAAGCCACTTCCCCATTTCTAAATGCATCTCATCGGAACAAAGTGTAAGAAGAGTCAGCTAAACAAAATGTGATTCTAATCGAGTGATTTATGCAGGTCATTATAAAGCAAGTTGCTGTCACAAGAGAAGTTGAGATGAGGACAACAGACCGAGATTAAACTCCAAATTCAGATCACGTAGACAAATTGCATATCAGTGTCACGCACCCATGGCAGCCAATCTAATTTAATTTTCTCTGGCAGCGAGGAGAAACAGCAAAAAAAGTAACACAACGTTACTGTTGCAGGCCTTAAGATGTGGAGAAAAAACACCCAGATGGAGAGATAGATCAACATAAGACATTAACATGACTTTCACAAACAATGTATGCAAATATATGGGCCAATCCCCATGTCTAAACAGTTTAAGAAAAGAAATCCTGCTGCGACATCACTGACTGCTGTGAGGCCAAAGTAGCAACATGCCTTAAAGAGTCAGCCCATACCAGCAGTGCAATAGGAGGTTTCTGCTCTCAGTTATTCACTTAATATTTAATATTTCTACTATTTCAAGTATGTTTATAAGTATAGTATATGTTGGAGAGAGTGGTCATGGGAGCTGCTCTCCATACAAGCTATGTAGTGAGCACAGCCCAGTT